TCTCGAAAAAGATGATATTCTGTATAAATACGGTTAACCTTAAAAATCAACACAAGGTCCCACCGGGTGTGCCAATTTGTTTACCGTGAAAATTGGTAAACAACCGCTGATCTTCCAAAAGGTTACTTATTTGGTGACTCGCAGAATCGATCAGATTGATCCTAAGACATGGTTGATTTTCTGGGGTTTTACTAAATCTAATGATGGTTAATGCCAGTAAAGTAAAGACACTTTATGTAAATTGCATGAAGAAAAGCTTGATAGAATAAATGAAAGCGTTAAATAAAAGGGCTTCGACGGAGATGAGTAAATGAAAGGCAATAAAGTGCTTGAATATAAAAGACTTTAATTAATTTAAATGGTGTTTCACACATACATTCTCAACAATTCTTTCGCTCACACTGGGTACTTGAATCTAGATGAGTGACTTGTATATAATGATGAACACCCCGCAACAAATACGCGAACAACTAGTATTTATACTAAACCACATCTTAAGTAACCTTTGGACAGTTACGTTGCTTCGAGATGACACCACTTGGCATGCTCATAGCATTCGACGCTCCTGATCTTGGCACGTTGCGTTTGGTAACTGCTGGGAACCGTTTTTCCCTCCCAACATTCGAATCTCAAACCATTCCACCCTGGGCATCAGATTCCTTTGTCGAGAAGTTCCTTTGACGTCGAAGGTAGCAAGATTCCCACTTAAAAAAAACTCTCTAAGTACCTTGCCATTTTCAGATGAGCATTCGACAGGATCAGCTGGTCGAAACCTGGAAACTCCTCAAACTCATAATTAATGGTTTGTATTGATAACAAACAAGGATGTCGAATTTAGGAGCCAACACCACCAAGAATTGGGCCTTGATGGATCTGGCCATTATTCCCCTCCCAAAGGTGACGATCAGCTCCACGTACCCCCATGGCTTCGTGCTGGCCCCATTGAAACCTTGAAGATCAGAATCCACGTAGGGGGTTAGGTGGCTCTCGTATAGCTGCAAAATGTTGAACAATTGGGCGTACATGATGTCCACCGGACTTCCCTGGTCGACCAAAATGCGACGCACGTCAAAGTTAGCCATTCGAGCTCTCACGAGCAGTGGGATGCTCGAATTCGGGGCTCCTCCCGATAACTCTTCTCTGTAGAATGCAAGGTGGTGAGATCCTACTCAGAAATTGTCGAGCGTGGTGTCTATCTCAGAGTTGGCCTCGATGAGTTGGTCGAACCTTCTCTTCACTGATCCAACTATATGCCTATTAAACCCTCCGCCGGAAATGACCATTGTTGCGGGGAAGGATTCCCACGGACTATGGGTGGAGAAGTACAGGGGGACATTCTCCATGTCCGAAAAGTAGAAGTATTTCGGCCGTGAGATGCTCAAGGCGACTAGAATGGTATAGAAGTTGGGGGATTTCTTCCCTTTTTTGACATTCTTGGTCTCTGGTGCTTCGTCACGGGCGACCTCCTTTTTTTTATACTGCTTGAGGTGCCCGTCTCTGATTAGTATTTCGATTGCATCCTTGAGGTGAATGCAATCCTTTGTGTTGTGGTCGTGACTCTTGTGGAACCTGCAGTACTTACTCTTGTCGGTTCCTGGCTTCGACGGAGTTCATCGGGGGAAGCGCACACCGGCTTGTTTGAATTCAGAGTTAGCACATTTAGAAAGAATGTGCAACCTTGAGGTTGTCAGGGACGTGTAGTCGTGGAAACGACCGACCGGCCCCTTGTAGTCTTTAGGATCACGGAACCTGTCTTCCCGTTTCTTTTCCCCCCGACAGGATGTCGAGGGTTCATAATTTTTTGAGGGTTTGGCACTCTCTCTGTGCCTGGATTCTCAGGCGCTGTTGGTCGTTTCCTTCTCTTCATACTGTATGTACGCCTGGGCCTTTAAGAGAAGGGAATCGAGCGTGGCTGGTATTTTTATGCCCACAGCCTTGGAAAAGTCGTTGCGGGGACGGAGCCCGCGCTCGAGTAGGTATTTCTTCATGTTGTCCATTGTCGGAACCTGGAGCGCTTCTTTGTTAAAGCGTTCAATATATGCACGCAGAGACTCGTCCCTTCCCTGTATGATCGCTTCGAGCGAAGGTTCTGATTTAGGGTGTCGGTGGGAAGTAGTGAAATGCCTTAAAAACATTCTCTCGAGTTGTTTCCAAGAGGTGATGGTTTCCTCGGGCAAGCTTTTGTACCATGCCATCACCCCCTTCCTGAGAGTGGTTGGGAAGATTCTGCATTTGATGGCTCCCCTGACCCCTCTGTAATTGAGGAGGGAATTGATGTTCTCAGTGTGCTCGTCAGGGTCTGTCGTACCTTCATAGGTCCCTAGAATGGGCGGCTTCTCCAGGACGACAGGAAGCATAGCTTCAGTGATCTCCCTTGATAACGGGCCATGGAGCTCGTTATCTTCACTATTGACGGGAGACAGAGAAGGAGAGTGATAGTTTCTCCCCCATAGATCGTCATAGTCTCGTCGGGGGGAGGGGCTCCTTCACTTTTGCTTCGGCTCGAGAGAGGGAATTCGAGCTCGGTCGATTTTCCTATTGTCCTTCCTCTTCTTGAACGAAGGGGAGTCCTGATCTCTGGGGGGAGGTGTGCGATTGCGTTTCTTGAAGAAAGAAACGCCGCGCCTATCCTTTATGAGCGGTGGACCACGCCCGGGTAGTGATGTACTGGGGGAGTTTCATCTTCGGGCTCTCCGAGGAGGAGATCTTGAGCATCTGTTCTCCCAGGCCCCTATCCTTTGATTTTGTTGAAGGATGAGGGCGTTGGTCTGGTTTATGGCAGCGAGCAGTACCTCCATGGTCGGGTCGGTGTTGAGAGGGATAGGAACTGGTTGCAAGATTTATGGCAGTTCCTCAGTAGGATTCTTGGAATGTCCTTTGTCCAAGAGTTGGTCGTCACTACACCGGTCATCAGCGGAATCAGGGGACGCGGTTTATCCGTCAAGGAAGCCCAGGTTGTCCTCTAGGTAAGGGTGTTCCTGGCTTCCACCAGTCTTGCGAGCGGGGGAAAGAATGGTCTTTCTGGGAATGTAAAGATCATCATGGTCGGCCATGATAAGAGAGATGAATCTTGAAAGAAAAGTTTATTTGATCTTAGGTTCCGAGGGAAGAGATGGGGATAGCAAATTCCCACAGACGGCGCCACTGATCTTGATGGTTGATCAGAACCTAGAGAGTAGCCGGAGGATGATCTTCAGTCGGGTTGTGTGTTGAGGTGAAAAGGGGGGTTGTACCTGCAAGGCACTCTAACGATCAAGTAAGGGAGAGAATAGGGAGGTACAAACAGAAATATCAAGTAGTGAGTAGTGAATATGTGATACCTGGCCCTCACAGGTGTGAGGGTTTATATAATGCCCGTGACGCGTGGCCACTGGTTCCTGATTTCACACCTAGATATGCGGGTTCTTGAAATCAGGTAACTGCCAGGACTTGGTCAAACCGGGCGGATGTGCTCGTAACTAGCCATTGGTCCCGATGAGGGGGTTAGTTGCGGGCATCTCTCTGGTCGGTTCCTGGTGGCCTGCACGATGTTGATGTCAGGAAGGCTGAGAGGATGTTCGTCGGTCATCCTAGTTCAGTGCTGGTTCGAGAGGGCAAATGTTTGTCGCTGCTCGACAGGGGGTATAGCCATGCCGGCGTTCCGAGTTATGGTCGGGTGGGTTCGACCCGTGGAGATCTCTGGACTGGGCTAATCAAGCCGTCGGGCCAGTCCAGAACACCTTACAAAGGATGACCCATTATAAAACAATTCTAACTAAGTGCAATAATATTGGGCGAGTGCCCGAGGCAAGACTGGTTTCCCAAAGCACATTCTAGATCTCCCAATTGGGCTTTGGTCGCCCTGTACGAACTGGAATCCATGCCATTTTTCATTTATCATATGTGGATTATGCGGTGTCAAAGGAATAAATATCTAGATATATCAGTCAAAGTGAAAAACCTCTTTCCCCATGATTTGAGGAAGATCAGGTCTTCCTTCATGCATGATTTTCTAATCAAGACACTAGAGAAACTGTTTCTCATGCTTTCTATGTCAGCTCAAGGAGTCTTCTATAAACATTCAACTTTAGAATTGAGAAAGATCATTCATTAATTCCACAAAGTAAACAAAATAGAGTCTGTTGCAATCCATACATGAGGAGACTAAACCTCTATTGTACTTTCAGTAAGTATAAGAGTCTATCCAGAAATTGAAACAAGATGGTTGTGGAACAAGAAAATGTGATGTCCTTTTAAGTTGCATGGATACTATAAATTGAATAATACATGGAAATTTAGTATGTTTTGTGGCTGAGTAGAAAAAAATAGTGTTTCAGGATTATGTTTGAAACAAGCGAGATATTTTGTCTTTGATTAAATCACTTGGTTGAGATTGGACTTCTATTTTATCAAAAGGTAGGCTAGATTTAGATAAGGAAGTTTGAATTTCTAACCTCATGGAATGTGTTATGGTCTAGTTGTTTTGTTGTTGAGGATTGTTGTCTCCTCTCTTTGTAGTTGTTTTCTTTCTTGTATTGGGTTTAGCACCCTTGTGTTGTGCTCTATTATTGCAATAGCTTATAAAAAGTATATTTTGTGGTACAGTGTCACAAATTAGCAAGTCATCTAAATTTTGAAGAGAAAAAAATTAGTTTATGACAAGACATTAAATATGGTTGAGTCTAAAAACATACTCTCAACTTCGAAAATAAAAATACCCGAATGTGTCGGAATACTTGAAAAAAATACAACTCAGTAAAAATGTGATTATATTGACAACCTCATATTACTACTAATTGTACATAAATTAACGAGAAGATTAATAAAACATAAATTAATGTGAAAGAACAAGTTTGTCATTTCACTTATATACTAGCGAAAGTAACAAATTAAATTGACATAACAAACAACATACTATAAAAACCAAGAAAAAACCCATTAAAAACAAAACCAAGAGTTTCAAATGCAAGAACCTTAATTTATTTGGTAAAAAGTAACAAGAATAATAACCAAACTTGACTCTAAAGTTTATGCAAAATAAGATGTGCACCATGCTCAGGCTGAAGAGTAATAATAAAGGAAGGAGCATGAGTATATGAAGTTGAAAACTCTAAAGAAAATTTTCTAAGAATCATAGCCACAGCAATTTTAGCTTCTAATAAACCAAAGTTTTGACCAATACAAAGCCTAGGACCCCATCCAAATGGCAAGTAAGAAACTTTGCCATTTGTTGCCTTTGAAACTCCTTCAGAGAATCTTTCTGGATTGAACTCTCCAGCATTGTCACCCCAAAATTCCTTTTCTTGGTGCATTATTGATACAGGTACTATGAGTTCGACTCCCGCAGGAAGTGTTAGGTCTCCGAGTTTTGTGTCTTTGCGAAGGTATCGAGATAGCATGATAACCGGTGGATATAGCCTTAGACTCTCTTGGAGAATCATTGATATCTGTTTCATGTAGAATGATAATTAGGATTAGCGAAACCAAGAATTATTTAAGTCAGTGTTTAAGACGGGCTAACCCACAAAACCCAAACTTTTTTACTTGTTAAACCGTGACTAAGAAGGATCTCGCAAAATATTTGTTATGGTTAAATCATAACAAAATATAACCAGAGTTTGTTTTTCCACCATAAAACCAAAGTAAACCTACGTAGAGTTCGGAAAACATAAAACGACTCTGATAATTGAGATAGTGACTAGTTTGATATCAGTTCAATTCAGATAAGGAATAAACGAATAGAATTTAAGGCGTGAATATTCGTTTTTGAATATGTGAAGAGAAAACTTACAATTTTAAGTTGACCAATCTTTTCATAATCTGGATTTTCATGACCAAAAACTTGAAAAGCTTCTTCCCTTGCTTTTGTTTGCCATTCAGGATTCTTGGCAAGTAATAACAAAGTCCAAACAAGCAATTCAGCATTTGCTTCTTGTCCAGCCAGATAAAATAGCTTAACTTCATCAATCACTTCTCTTAAACTCATTCCTCCACCACCATTAGCCTTTTCAGTTTCCTTATAATTTGATTCCAAAAGTATGCCTAATAAGTCATTGTTTGTAGGCTCTCCTGCTTTTATTGCTTTTAGTCTTCTGTCTATGATTTTCATTAGTGATGTTCTTATTTCTTTGTCAATTGCTTTCATCCTTCTGTTGGTATAAGTTGGCAAAAACCTAGCAAAAATAAACATGATTAGAATTAGGATTCTTAAAAAAATCGAGAAAATCGAACCAAATTCCTAAACTAAATCAAACTATTGTTAAATAAGTGAACTATTTTTTTTAATTCAATAACCGAACCGAACCGTATGTAAATCTAACCTGTAACCTGGAATGAAAGCAAACTTGAAAAGGGTCATTGTAAGTGTGATCATTTCTTTTTGAAGTTGAAAAACTCTTTTTCCTTCTTCAAAGCTACTTCCAAAGCCAGCACGAGCTAGAACATCACTTGAAACATTTTGGACAAAAGGCCATACATCTAAGTCACATGACCCATTGGATGAAGCTACAACTTTGTCCAATTTGCTTATCATATCATCGCATGATTGACAAAATATTGGTATCAACATCTGTATAAAATTTTCATAAATCATAAATATCCATTATAACTAATATACTTTTTTAATTGTATGAAATATTCAAATAACTCAATTCGTATTAGGGTGAAATTACAAGTCAGACCCGCCAAACATGCCCGTTTTAACCATAATTTTTCATCAGGTGCATTAAAATTTTAGACATGTATCGTCTAATATGTCCACAACGCCCAGTTTTTTACAAACTTTTGCATACACGTTAGTTAACAAGAATTTTGACAAATTTTAATCTATAAAATTCAAGGTCAGCATGCCCGCAATGTCTTCACTTTTTATAAGACGGACCAAGATTTTTTATCTGCACTCTCAATTATGTTCATCTCATTTTTACAGGTTTTTGTGAACAAACTTAAGCAGAATAGTCATGCTTGTTTACCACCTCGACTTTATATACGACGGAGGAAGTACTAGATTTAGTAAAAAATAAAAAATAAAAAAAGTAAAATATTAAAAAATACAAAGTAAAATAAAAATCATTAAAAATATTTACAAAAACTAACCTTCATTTTGTCAACATTGAATGCAGGGGTGACAATTTTTCTGTGTTTGGCCCATTTGTCTCCATCTAAATTTGCAAAGCCTGATGCTAGAAGTTTGAATAGTGGACTTATGTCTGGTTTTTGAAAATCATATACCTTTGTAGTCATTTCTTTGATTTTATCTGGATCCATTATGAATATCCTAGGTCTTGGTCCAAGCCACATAAATGAACTCTTCCCTGCATGCATAATATAATAATACTCAAATGAGATTATAAAAAAAGAAATTTTTTTAGTTTAACCAGAGATTCTACATTCGAACTCAACTCAGGGTACGACACGCAACAATGTTAAATTTTCCCCAATTTAAAAGATTAGTCTTTGCAGTTGTTGCGTAGAGAAGATACTCGATATGTAAAAAAAAAACTACAATATATTTGCATGAAATTAAGTTAATGACATACCATATTTGGCAATAGTATGAACAACAAAAGGCAAAACACGAGGAGCAATATCATTAGAGTAAGGGTCCATGGGTTTAGATTTAGCTTCTTTGATCATTTTCACCATATCTCTAATATCTCCAACCATGATTCTATATGAATTTCCTTTAAGACCTTGTTGTTTCAAACGTTTCTCTATTCTTTTTGGTGTGAACCAAATCCAATCCAGTGCACTCCAAAAAAACCATATCAGAACTGTAATAATCACAGTGATAACTGCAACTTTCGTAGGTTTCAAACTTAGTGATGATAATAATGTTCCTAAGTTTTCCATTTTTTTTCTATGTTTTGGTGTAATTCTCAAAGAAAACTCGTATGTGTTACAATATAAGGATTCGATGATATCGTAATGAATATGATTTTTATGATTAAAAAACCACGTGAGTGTCCCACGAGAGCCACGAAGTGTATATTTAATATATGATATAGTTTTGTAATGTAAGAATTAAATACAAAAATATTCATTAAAACAAAAGCATAAAAACACTAAAGTGTGATGTCATTGTTTACTCGCGTTTAGCGTGGTCAAATATTTCCTAATTAAATAAATCCCCTCAACAAAATAAAAACACTTTTTCAGCTAACAAAAAAACATTTTTATTGAAGGTAATTTATTGGAAGAATGAATGATTATATTATGCCCGAGGGGTGTGGTCAACTGGTCATAGACTATTTTGTAGGGATTGGTCAAAAATCGATCATGTCACACCATCAAAGATTATAAACCATTTGATTTAGATTTGATCTCATTATTTTGAGTTATATAATAAATGTTTATCATACATTATTTTATAATTTAAACCATTAGATCAAAATCGGACAATCATAAATGCCTCGATTGTGTGACTTCAAGAAAAAAAATTCTGCAAAGAATCTTGTTTCGACTTAGGGTGATATTTAGGTCATATTAAAATTGTTCAAGTCTCATTTCGCATAGACACCGTTCTAACAAATTTATAGTGAAAATGAATCTTCTGCTAGGGTTTATGAGCATTCCTGAAACTGCGAATGGTAATAATTCACCGACAAGACCATGTAGGAGTACGGCGGAGATCGACTTGCAAGAGAGAAGTACAAGGAAAGTGAAAGAAGCATTGATCAATACTAACAATAAAGGTGTCTCATTTAGAGAATATTAGTACTGGAAGGAATGGTGATGACATGGATGAAGAGAAATATGTTAGGCTGGAGGATGATACTGTTCGAGAAGAGAAATATGGAGAGATCAGAGTGGAGGAGGAATTGATTGGTGGGTATGAATGCCCTAACTTTGTCTTTTCTGAGATAGAAGAGAAGTGAATCCAAAGGCCGTGGAGGAGAGGAGTCATTGTCAAGCTTTTAGGAAGAAGAATTGGCTACAAAACACTAGGGAGTAGATTGAATCAGATGTGGGTGCGCAAGGGAGTTATCATCCTCATTGATCTCAACAATGATTACTATCCCGTGGCTTTCTCACATGAAGATGACAAGAAGGCGACGATGACTAAGGACGCTGGTTTACTTACGACCACTATCTGATGGTTCAGGATTGGAGACCAAACTTTTAACCAGAGAGTGGCACTATTGAAGAAGTTGCAATTTGGGTTAGAATCTCTGGGTTACCAATAGAATATTATGATTCAAGGGCACTCTCAATTTTTGGTAATCGCATTAGACGCATGATTAAGGTGGATAAGACCACTATCAAGCAGGAATGAGGAAAATGTGCTCGTATTTGTGTTGCTGTTAATCTTTCAAATCCTTTGCTAGCAATGCTTAAGATACTAGGAAGCAACTACAAGATAGAGTATGAGGGTCTCCACTTGCTTTGTCTTGCATGCGGTGAAGGTGCGAGAAACACAAGAAATGGGGGTTTGAATTGGGTTTCATCAAATAGAAACTTATCGTTGGTGACAAACCAAGTACACTTAGAACATAAAACAATAAATGAACACAATGATTTTTATCTTGGTTCGCTGTTAACTAAGCTACTTCAGTCCACCCTCGCAAGGATAATTTTGCCTTCAACAAAGACTTAATCCACTATAACCAAACTGATTACAAAACAATCCATAACACGTTTGATCAACCTTATTGACACCCTCAATAAGTCCGTAGATCCTTACTGTAAATATACTCAAGCCACAGTAGGAGTCTTCTTGAGCTCAGACCTTCACTCAATCTTGTAAGCAGATTACACAGACTTTTCAGTATAATAAAGAACACCTAAGTGTTCTACTGCAAGATGCGAGCAGCAACTCATTGCTTATTTACAAAACTATACACAGATGATTTCTCTGCAGAGTTTGCGCAATGATTTGGTGTACTTTTGTTGAGCATGATTTGAACCGATAGATTTGTCGTTGTAATGTAGTTTGTTACTTTTCTTTAGCTTCCAAGTCTTCCTTTTATAGCTTGTAAAAGAGATCTGTTGAAAGGGTAGAAAGGTAAATAATAAAATAGAGTTGTTGGTTCTCAATGGTTATAATGAGAGTAGTCACTATCAAGTACAAAAGAACTGCCCTTGCACCACTCTAGAAGAGTAGAGCATGACGTAACCGACAAAAAAAATAAAGAGTTGCCACCATTAATTTTTGTCCTAAAGACAGGGAATAACAAATAACCCTAATTCTGTCAGAGATTCTAAATTCATAAGTCCGTTAGGTGAAGGGAAGGTGTTAGGCACCTTTCATCTCCCTTGTTCTCAAGGGACTTCACTTTTAAGTTTAAGGGTAAGATGGGAATTTGATAGTTAATATTTCTATAATGTTGAGAAAAAGATTTAATTTTTTAGTTGTGAACTCGCCTTGGTTTTAGCTGCGTGCCTCTGTATCTCCTTATGAAGAATCATAGTCTAATTTTGTAGTTCAAATGTATTTGGTTAGTTTTTTTTATGGATTGTGAAAATATTTTGAATTCTTCTTGAACCTTGTCTGTGTTTGAAAATAGTGTAGTCGTAGACGTAATTCGCAGTTAATATAAAATATCTCCACAATCCTTTTTGAAAATAAAGTTGAATTTGAAATTAAGTTAGTAGAAAAAGTGTTAAATTTGATTGGTTAGTTGTCTTAGAATGCATGATGCAATTTGAGGGAAAAAATTTGAATGATAAAAATATTTGAATAATGATAGTAAATGTGGTTAGTATTTGAAAATAATTAATAAACAATTATTTTCTTATTATTAAAAATATATATTAAATATTTTTAATATTAATCCAATATTTATTTATTAATGATTTTATGATAAAATGAAAAAAATATATATATTTTGATTCAACATGTTAAAAAATGATATGAGATATTATATAGAAATAAAATTAAATAAATAAACAAAAATAAATTATTTAATTAAATAAATAAATAAATTTATTATTAGCAGGGGGTGCGTAAATTAACTAGGGGGTGAAACTAATAAAGGGCTTAAGCCCAAATTATATTAGAATCCAATATGGTGCAGGAGGTGTTGTTTTGAACTGAGGGAGTAATATGAGGGTGTGATTAGAAAGGGCTTTAGTCCAAACAATTTGTGCAAAGGTCCAAAACAAACTCTGGGTTCGTTTGGGCAAGATGTGGGAAGGTACACATAATTGTGGTGAGGAATTGATGATCAGGCTCATGCGTTTAATCCAATAGCTCTCAAAAGCTTGTCTTGGAACGTTGACCTGGTGGTAATCAGAATGGAGGGTGAGGATCTGCGATTGACTGAGGGAGTATGATAGGGGAAGCACAGGTGACTGGTCAACATCCCCCTGGCGTGCATCCGAAGACAGAGAGTATTATTTAAACAAAAACATGAGCCCATAGCTCATTTTCTCTCTTCTTTCCTCTCTCTATACCAAACAAACGAACCTTCTTTATTTTTAGAGAGAGAGGCTTTGTCCTCTCTCTAGAAACCCGGTGATCGCAAATCGCCTCAGCCGAATTTAGATTTGATTCAAATGTAAATTAGAAGGATTTAGATTTTGTTAGAAATTAGAATTAGGGTTTGTACTATGTATGTATCTGGACATTATTACATTGTAAATTCGTTAAATCAATAAAAATCCAATCTTTTGATCAAATATTAAATTTCCATATTCGATTCAAAATCAATGTTTTTGGACCTTCTGAGTAGCTTAGGGGAGAAGAGATCTACCCACGCGCGCAACAAAATACTTAGGGTCTTTACCCTAGTTGACTTGGTCAACAAACTTTAAAATAAAATAAATAATATAATAACAAATAATAATAGTAATATCAGAATAATTATAATATCAACCATAACAATGACTAATAATTAATAATAATAATCAGTATTAATAAATAATCACTAATACTAATAAAAATAATCATAACTATACATAATGATAGTTGACTCGGTCAACTCTCAAGAACATTAGAAACAAATAAAAAAATATGATATTGACTTGAGCCCCAAAAATATATGAGCCAGTTAGGCCCAAAAACATATACCCTTTTATTAGCCAATACACCCCTCCCCTTTAGAGGGTTCACACCAATTTGCTAAGCCAAATTAATTACACAACCTATTACTAATTCAAGGTATATACACCTCCATATAGCATATAAGACTTATTCAAATGTGTATCCCGTGACCTGATTAAAAACAAATAGCCCAATTAAATGCTACTGAAATAATTCAACTATTAATGTCTAAGGCGGGAAAATTTGGGGTATGACAGAGGTCACGGTCACTTTATGTACCTTTTGTACACTATCACACGTTAACCATTTTGAAATTTTCTTCTTGATCTACAGAGACTTCAGATATTTGAATGTTGAGTGTTGAAGCTTGTTGTAGAAGAATCTTTCTTAAGCCTTATAACTTAAGCCTTGGATTCTTCAGAACTTGTGACATAGAACCTTCTCTTCAGAGTCTTCATCACTTGGTTGTAAGAACTTCCTTTTCTTCAGACCATCAAAACTTGTTCAACAGAACCTTGTCTTCATAATCTTCATAACTTGTAACATATAGAAGTAAAGCTTTAGAAGGCCTCCAAAGCTAAACCACAAAGCCACGATCAGAATTTCTTGTACTAATGTTCCTAAGACACATTGCAGAAGATCAGTTCAGAACCTTGACTTTAATAAAACATGTAACCACATGTTTTATTCCAGAGTGTATGTTCATAACCTGATGACGTCACACACCTTATACCAGAGTCAGAACATTATAGCAGCAACTACGCAATAGACGAAACCATTAGTGTATACAATTATTTTCTAAGATAACATGTAAAGTTATCATAAAAATCTCAAGTCCATATGTAGGAAACACTTCTTGTTCTTACAA